GAAAGATACTGAAGAGGCTTTCTTTCGTCCACTCGTATCAATGTGTGGGGCCAATTTATTAAGGGGGCTACCATTATTCAGTGTTTCTGTTGCATTTGCAGGAGGAGCAATTGTGACTGGAGGCACCCAATCGGAGGACAGGACTATGTCAGCATCTGTGTAAACCTAAATCGCAAAAAAACGTAATAAGGGTTGAGAGCCCAAAAATTACAATTTCAACATTCAACAGACACATTTAAATTTAAATTAAAAAAATTTAGTGATGTAAACAGCATTACCAAAAATATTTTATTGAAATATGTATTGTAATAGAGGATTTAATTAAAGGCAAGTGATTAAACAACAAAAATCAAAATAATTACAGCAAAGTTTAGAAAAAAAAAACAAAACGTAACATGAATTTCAAAATAATATTTTGCATCCGAAAACAAGCATAATAAGTTTCTAAAAATATAAACTAAACCATAACATAATTTAAATTATTTCAAACATTAATAAAACTCATCTGTGACAATGATCAAGAAATTGTATGAAATGAATAATGAAGCACATGTTGCATGATATTTACAGTATTATTTTAATTCTTTTTTAGAACAACTGTACCTTTTTGGTATTCATTGGTGGAATAATAACAGGAGGTGGGACTGGTTCTCTCATATCAATACCAGAATCATAACATGACTGTTTGGTCATCTGTTCCGAGTCCTCTGGCCTTATTTCAACTGCTGGTGCAGATTCACTAGTTTCTGCAACTTGGGCAATAGTAACATTTATATTATTAGGAACTGGTACTTGAACTGGTGTCTCTTGTGAAGATCCATTTGAGTCTTGGTCATCCAACGAGCGGTCTTTACTGGGAATTGCCCAATGTTGATCAAGCAAAGAGCGTCTTCGTTCTTCTAGCGTGCTGGTGACATTCATTGTTGCGGCGGTAGCATTAGGTGGAGCAGAACCACCTTCTGATTCTGTTGAGTCACCTTGAGAACGCTGTGAAAAAAAGTAATTGAGAAATCACTGAGTTAACAAAGTTAACTTATCCATTGGCTAGTTTACAGAAGTAAACATAAAAGTTAAATTAAAATAATTTCTGAGCTTTGGAGCCGTTCAAGTATTACGTAAGCACTATATGGAGGCGGGGGGGTTGTTGATTTGCTTATTTTGGGTTGACATGGGGAGCAGGGAAGTCTGGATGATGATTACGTCATAGATAGTATTTTTATTTTTTTACATCAAGTGCAAAATATTTACGTAAGCATGGGGGTAGGGGGTAAGAGCTTTGCTTACTTTTGCTGATAAGGGGTATGGGGGGGGTAAATAAATGTAATAAATCTGCTTACGTAATACTTGAACGGTCCCATTACTAATATCAGATAAAACTTGCTAAGACTTAAGATTTTTATAGTTTATAACAATAATGACTCTAATGAACTTTGTTAGATGGACAAGTAATTACATTATATGAAATTTTAATTGAAAAATAGTTCTTTTTGATGGCTCGACAATTGATATTATAAAATTGAAGCGTAATAAATAAAGTAAATATGTACTACAGTTTTGTGCTTACCGATAAATTTGTAGGTGTGACAAGGTCCCTTTCGAAAGCCTTAGGAAATGCATCTCCTTCTCTTTGTTCAGCATAAGAGCAAATACTCTCACCATCTAAATCTGTTTCTACCCCACCTAGTTCTGGGAAAGTTTCGTCCTAGTAAAAAATAATCATTCAAATTTTTGTAACAGTGAAATGACTCAATTATTCAGCAGATTTAATATTTGCTTCCACATTGAATACAATTGTTCACTGAGCATTAGAATATACTCAAAATATAATAAAAGTGGGCAAAAAAAGACACCAAAATCAAATATTAAAAACAACAGAGAACAGAAAATACAAAATATTTGATTACCATATTAAAAAGTTACATTTAAAAAATTCATACCTTGACCAGCAAAGAATCTTTTCCTGGCGAATGAGTACAAGTCTTTGATGGGTGATATATTTCAGGTTTCTCTGAACTGCAAAATAAAATCATTGTATTACTTTATTTTTTTTATTAAATATAACTCATTAAATTACCTTTCATTTCCTATATGACCAACTCTCATATGGGCTATATCATAATAAATTGCAGAATTGACTACGAGATCCATAGGAGCTATGACACCATAACTTTCTGGTCCATGCTCTATCACAAGGGGGTCTGATACATTAGGATCGAACATCACAGCATTTGGGGTAACTAATAACACACCTCCTACTACGCCCTGAAAATAAAAATGATGATTTATGTATGTAGTCCAGAGTAAAAATAATTTATGTACGTTATTTATGCTTTAAAAACTAACATTTTTTAACTTCGAAAATCTATTCATTTTGTATAAAAATAAAGGTTATATTGAATTGTTATATTAATAAAGGTTATATTAATAAAGATTTGTTACTGAATTCATTCAATAAAGTTATAAAATTAAATTTAAAATCAAGTTATATTTTTAGTATGAAAACTTAATCAATTTTTCGCTTCTGTTTCTCAAATAAATATATTGTTTAAAAATCAGTGCGGATTTCATAAAAATAATTCTACTCTCATTTGATTAATACTTTTAAAATGATTTGCTATTTAAAACAATTATAAAATATTTCTTGATATAGTAGAATATTATAATTTCTAATTCCATCGTTAGGCTATTTAAATTTCACATATTTTACTAATTGATCAAAAGCAAATTACCCATTAAACAAGCGAATTTAGAACCTCTTTTATTTAACATCAATCTTTAAGAATTTACTACCTTGTGACAAATCTTAGTGATATTGTTCTATTTACAGATTATATCAGCATTAATGTTAAAGCAAACACTCTTAATTTGCAATGTACATAAAATCTTGTTATATCAGAAATAGCAAAATAGTTCAAAAATATCAATTTCGTCTCAAATAAAGGAAAAACTGAATTCTCTCTTGTGTAACAAACAAATCAATTATCTAGCAATATTACTTTGATGGCAATCAATATTTGGTTAAATCTCATTACTAATTCAAAAATCACTAAATGTAGAAAATCACAACTGAGTTTAATACCGTAATTAATTTAAATAGATATTTTCATCACCATCAAGATATTGCAACAGCGATTTCACATGAGCTTCTCGCAAAAGGTTTT